AAATGTTTTACCTCTGGTGTCCATTTCTCTGGGATATTCTCTAATGAATCTGGTGAATCTATGGAGAAACACATAAGGATAACATCCGTGTCAGGATACGACAATGGTCTTAGTCTATCATAATCTTCTTGACCCGCTGTATCCCACAGTGCTAGTTCTACTTGTTTGCCATCGACTTCTATATCAGCTACATAGTTCTCAAACACAGTAGGTACATATACTTCAGGGAATTGATCTTTGGAAAACACAATGAGCAGACAAGTTTTTCCGCAGGCACCGTCGCCGACAATGACAAGTTTTTTTCTAATGGCAGCCATGGTCTAAAACGGAAAGCAATATCACATTATACCATTAAATATTTATTCTAGATATCAAAGAGCGCAACAACCAAAAAGTAAAAAGAGCATAGAATTGGACTGGACTAATCAAATGCGCGCACACACCAACTCACACACACACACACACACACACACATACACACATATTCACAGTCACATACACGATACTTAAAGACAAGATTACAAATTAGTAAGAAAAACTTAATAACATAAGCAATAAGCACAACCATATAACATAACAAATACAAATAATTTGAGATAATTTATTAGTTCAGCTTACGGAAAGGGTATTTAAATTCGATGTCCAACAGGTGTATTTTATTTTAATTAACGAGAGACTTAAAATAATTTAATAGCTCGATTGAATATTGAAGTGAAAATAAAAAAATAAACAAAATTTATCAGATATCAATGTTTACCTAATTTTTTTTTATGTAGAGTAAGCAAACATAACCTCAAATTGAATTAAACAGAGTTATGGTTTTTTTTTAAATATTTCCGCGGTCAATTATGATTATCGTGTTAATATTTCTTTCACGATAATCGTATAGTGACGTAGATCTTTTATTTTTCCAGAGATAAAAATTCTTTTACCAAATCTTAGACCGGTTATTTTGATTAATGCAGTATAACATAACATATTTCAATGTTCAATGTACTTACTGTAATCCACGATTGACAAATTAGAAGAATTTTACTAAATCCTGAAGTACCTATTAGAGTGGTAAAAAAACTTTTTGATATCACATCAATACATAACAAAGTAATATTGTGTTATCAGTATTAAATTAAGTTATTATGTATTGCTGAACCTTTTTTTTTCAATTTAATCACATTTCAAGAAAAATTTACTTATTTGGAAATAGAGAACCAATGGATTACATTTCAATATGATATATACGGAATTATAATTTAATAAAGTTTTCAGTTAACACTACATAAGTTCTTGGCTAGTATGAGTTTAGTGTTATATTTAATTTTAATCGTAATATTTCTGCAAACTATTGTGGAAGTTTAAATATACTTTTATATATTTTCTATAGGAATAATATTATCATGGCTCATGAATGTTGATTATTGGCATTAAAAAACTTTAATTATGAAGAAGCAAGTCGCAGTAGGTGCCTACCTAATATTATTCATAACAACTGAAGAAGCAAAATATTAAATAAATAATAATTCTACTGTTATTGAAAACTTTACTGGTAAAATTAAAAGTGGCAAGATATTTTTGGGAGTTAGCGAAGTAAAATTTCGACTAAGTATTACAAATCACAATAATTAATTACTAAAAGCAAATGACAAGGAAGTCACTAATAGCCAATAGGTTACAGATAGAAATTTTTAGTCTAAAGAGTAAACTTGCAGGTTACTAAGAGGACGCCACACCCGCATGTGATGTTATCTCCGTCGTACAAACGTACAACATTGCAAATGATACGTTAACAATAGTTCATTTTACTTTATCATTTTTTAAATTAAAGTTGATATAAAATGTAGTTTTAAAATGATCATAGCTTGCTTTGTAATAAAAATATCAATAAAATAAGCTTTTGAAATAGTAATATATAAATAGATAATAATCTTAAATTTAAATTGTATAATAGATCAATTAACTCTTATTTTAAAAATGACCAAGTAAAACAGACCATTGTGAACATAACATTTGCTATGTAGTACGTTTGTAAGACGGAGATAACACATTGGGCGTGACTTCGTTTTAAGTATAATTTCAAATTAGGTACTCTAGTGATTACGACTTCTATGATATTGTGAATGATCCAAACGAAATACGGATATAATATAATGTTATACTAAAAAATGAAAATTTAGACTAATTCTAAACAGAAAGAAATTTAAATAAATTAAGTCTATATTTCTATTTAAAATGTACTTCATATTCTATTACGTGAACGTCAAATGTAAAGAGTATAGATGTTTTATATGGTATTTATACCTACTCTAAGTTACTGTGATTTATGTTAATACACGTAATTAATAGCACAAACGCCACAAACTATTCCATAATCAATAATTTATCCTATACTCCTACACGCAATCTTATTTTAATCTCATCAATGTCATCAAAATCTTATCGTATTTCTTAAATTATTATTTTAAAATTCATAAGTCCTCAGGGCGTTGTCTATATCTATGTATTTATATATTTTATTGTTATTTTAAATAATAATTGTGTTATTAATTCATTTAATATTGTAAATAGTAATTAGTTTATCTTCTGTATTCAATAATATAAAAGATTTAATAACTTTTGGTTGAAATCTCAATAAAATCTAAAATTAATATTAAAAAAAAAATAGTATTACAAATCGATTAAGGTAAAGAAAACTTATACCTTAACTAATAAAGTATAAAAATCTATAAAGATACCTATTAGATAGGTATTATATATATGCTTTATTCTTCATGTGTATAATATATATACTTATATACCTATCTACTTTTAAAATATAGATAATCACATAACATATTAATAATTGATATAAATAGGTTATTTATCATCTGTATAAATATGAATATATTATCTGATTATCGTAATATTATAATCGTTTTAAAATTAATTTGGAATAAAATACCTACAGCGGAATTTTTTTTTTAAATTAGACATTTGTCAATACTTATAAATTATAATATACGAGTATAACTTACAAGTTAAAACCTGTATATATAATATTATATAATAAAACTGCGCGCGTTTACTAAAATGCATTTAGAAATTCATTTGTGATTACAAGGATGAATGATCGGTTGTTTCTTTTTAAGTTTGAAAAGTTTTTTCTTGGTAACTTACACTATGCCTACCTGGACTGTAAATTTTATATTTAATTAATAAATAACCAATATTTTTTTACCGCCTCTAGATTAACTGATTGTTTATGAATCAGATAACTTAATATTAAATATGTTAAAAATAGATATATCTGTTGATTATGATTTATGAATACGATGTTAGATGAGAATATGTGTCATGAGATAAGTAGGTACTTACTGTCATATTATCTTGCAAGTGCTGAAGTGTTTAACGATACATGGTAAATTTATGCTTGTTCGGTTTCAGGTCTTTCAATTTTAATATTTATTATATATAACGCCAGCTAAAGCAGAGAGTGGCGAGTAGGTACCAACAGTACTATAATGTATTAACGTACAGAAATAATGATAAAAATAGGTAATAATTTTAAATTTTAAGTAAATTGATAAATGTCTATTGATTTTATGACATTTTTTTTTTGTGTATAGTGTATACACGATAAGTAACCAAAAAAATACTTAAATTTTTATCTTTAAAAGTGATCTGTGATTCAAAGTTGGATCTAGTTTATACTTTGAAGAGGTCAAAATTAAAAGTTCTCTATAGTTTTATAAGTATATTATTAGAAAAAACAAATTAAAAATGAAAGAAAAATGGACATTTTTACGCAAAGCAAGTTTTTAACAAAATCGATATTAAATTAGGTATTCATAATATCTACAAATAACCGTAGGTACTTGAGAATTCCACTAAATTTTAGCATTTTCTACACATAATACATTTTCCAAATTCCTTTTACCTTTTTAAGTTATTTATAGATATTTGAAAATTTTTTAGTTTCATTTCTATGAAACTTGATAATAACTTTTTCTTCGAATTAAAAAGCTTAACAATTTAATACATACATATGTAGTTAAGTTACATATGTATTAAGTATTTTATTACGAACTAAAATATATAAGTATAATTTTTTTTTATAGACATTCAAAGTTCAAATTTGGATGAAATTATAAATAATGATATTCGTTACGTGTTATAGTTTAAAAAAATTATTCATGTAGACAAAAACTTTTACGTATATAATTATGTTTTAAATACACAACATTTTTCAACGAAAACTAATTTAACTTACTGTTGTATAATAAAAAAAATACCATGAAAAATATATACTTAGTGATAAAAACTGATAGACTGACTCCACTTAAAATAGGTTTTTACATATAATGGTCAAAATTATTTATCTTTGAATTTAAATTTAGCACATCCATTACAAAACTCATTAGACATCTACTGTACAACAAAGTGGTAACTACTTATCCATATTTTTGTATCCTGAAACTATTATTAAAGAAAAAAATCAAAATCAAAAAAAGGGTCTAGGGGTGAAACAGTAGCAGAAAAATATCTAGGTTCAAACTATTATCTTGATAATTTTTTCAATATTTTAAGTTTATAACGAGTTACAAGTGTGTAAAATACTAAAATTTAAAAATGCTCATGTCACATGCTCAAAATTAAAATATCAATATAACAATTATTAAAGTTTAAATGGTTTGATATAATAAATCAATATTCACAATAATATCAAAATTAATAAAGTAGGTAATAGCGAACATGTGAAACAGTTGAACATAAATTTGTTAGGGGAATAATTAGTTGAACAAATTGTAATAATTCATAAGTAGGTACATAATCAGTAAATATAAATGCTTACTTCAAAGAAATCAAATGGTGTACATAATTTTTCTATTAGTTGTGTTGTATAGTCTAGATTTATGCACATGTACTTAGTTTTAAAAAATTAGGGGGCCCTTGTGTAAAAACAGCTTTTAATAAAATATATATTCACAATTTTTAAAAATATCAAAACATTTTTTTTTCTTTAATAAAATAATATTTCTCTTATTAATCCCGTATTGATATTCAAAACTCAATATACCAATAATTATTTTTTACCGCCTGTTGCCTGTGTTAATATAATCTATATTCTATATGTCTAAAAGAATAAATTATAAGCCAATAATTATTTATCAAATCATTTAGATGTTCCATATATTTCTGAAAATATAATTTGAAAAGTTACTTTGAATTATAAATATAACTATGTTTTTGATTGATTTAACATTTTTATATTTAAAAAATAAAAATAAAATTACTTATCATTTTATTATTTTTCATCATTGAATGTAATTGATAAATGGAAAAATCCATAAAGTTCAATCAAAATATTCATCATATTGAATAATATAATATATAGTGAAAATTCTTCATAATTATAGTCTCAACCATGATGTAAATCCTGTTATGTAAAACATTTATGATAAATATTACATACAATACTGTTTATAGTGTTTATCATTGGCTTTATGACAGAACACTAGTCAAAATAAAGTATTTTTTTTCTCTGTAATATATTCATGCTTTAATATTCATATTAATATATATACAGTTAAATATTCTCAGAATACATGTTGGTGTAATAAATAACTTAATTATCTATAATTATAAAAATAATATTGAATTTTTTATTTTTCATGTGAAATTAATTAAAACTTTTGCTACAAGCCTTATGTTTTAGTGGTATATTGAAAATAATTTTCCAAAACAATAAGTCCATTTAATATTGTTATATACATTTTATGTAAAATCTAACACTAGAGAATTTGTATTATAAAAATTTTAATTTGTAAATATTAATGTAATATCTATTTTTTAATAATTTTGTAAAATGTTTGTATACCATAAATTGCTACCTACACAAATAAATTATATACTAATATATACAAATAAATTATATATTAGAGGAATTATTCAAGTAGGTATCTAACATTGTTATTTTACATTTTTAAATTAAATACCTTATTAAATATATTTTATGTTTCTTAGAGTTATATTTTGTGCATATTAAATTATCCTAAAGTTCTAAATAAGTGATACCAATTACAAAAATTTTGACAGTAAATAAAGACTGCTGACTGGGAACGTTCTCTGATAGTGTTGTCTACTTAAAACCAATGTATTTATATAAAACCTTTAAGTAGAGTTCTGTAAGAATTATGATGGTAGATATGTAAACAAAAATAAGCTAGTTGTCTTTATTCTTTCTTTTCCTTTAAAAGACTGATTTAAATATAAGAGACCTTTTTAAATTACCATACAAATTTAAACTCTAATCTAGAATGAGACTTAGATTATTATAATACTTTAATCCATGTGTTAACAAAAAGAGAAATAAAAAATAAACATAAGTAATTCTTTCATTGTTTAAACTAGAATTTACATAATATGTATAATGTATATATTAAATTGAAAAATATTTTAACACATTTTTTTAATATCAAATAAAACTATTTAAATATGACTCTTTAATAATGTATTTTTTATAACACTTTAATCATAATTACATCTTATATCTATATTTAGATAAAATCAATAACTTTTTAATAACAGTAAAAAAAAGAATTTATAACTAAATGATAATCAAATTAACTCTTTACTCTGTTAATAGCCTGTAAGGTCAAAAAATGAATGAGTATAAAAGTCACTAATATGACATCATAGAATTTTTAGTAAGTAGTCATTCAAAACATGTTTTAAATGATACCTAATAAAATCTAGGAATTAAAAATAAATTTTAATAAAATCTAAACTTTTATTAGTAAATTTCTTAAAAAGTACAAGCATATAAATATTGGTTAATGAACAAACGTAATAATAGTATTTAAAAAAAACTAAGCTAAGGAATACATAATGGGATTCCTGACATAAAAGGTCCATAAAAAAAAATATAAATGTGTAAATATATATATATATATATATTTACGATACAGAAATATTGTATTATATTGAAGGTAGCGAAAAATGAGTCGTTAAAATGTTTAATTATTTTATAATTTCAACTTTATTTTTACAGAACAGTTATTATAATATAAAAAATAAAGTTAAAATAAGTTACAAAATGCACTATGATTAGTGATTACCCGATAAAAATTCTCCCCAACAGTTTTGCTTTGTACATATTTTGGCAAACAATAGGAATACATGATTATAATTATAGTGTTTATTATAGAAAAATAAAATGATATTTTTTGTCTTGCACCATGATTTGTACAATCAGGTTTATTTGTTTTAAATGCTGAAAATCCTTAAAACGACATGGTAATTTGAAAAATTGTATAAAAATATGATATATTTTATTTTCTAAGTAGATTTTTATATTCTTGAAAAGACATCACTTACAACAAGGCACATTTGCCTTTCTTCTTTTTCTTTACTTGAAGAGCAGCTCTTGTTGATGTTTCAAAAACTTCACGAACTCCTTCTTTGCTCTTTGCTGAACATTCCAAATAAGCAAATGCATTGATCTTTTCGGCCATTGCTCGCCCTTCTTCTGGCCTCACAGGCTCTTGTTTCATCTTGTTCAACTCACGAATTGTATTGGGATCATTACGCAAGTCTTTTTTGTTACCGACCAGTATAATCGGCACATTTGGACAGAAATGTTTTACCTCTGGTGTCCATTTCTCTGGGATATTCTCTAATGAATCTGGTGAATCTATGGAGAAACACATAAGGATAACATCCGTGTCAGGATACGACAATGGTCTTAGTCTATCATAATCTTCTTGACCCGCTGTATCCCACAGTGCTAGTTCTACTTGTTTGCCATCGACTTCTATATCAGCTACATAGTTCTCAAACACAGTAGGTACATATACTTCAGGGAATTGATCTTTGGAAAACACAATGAGCAGACAAGTTTTTCCGCAGGCACCGTCGCCGACAATGACAAGTTTTTTTCTTACGGATGCTGCCATTATGTGGAATGTTTATGCTTATCAAAAACTAGAGCGTTGGCCTGTTTGCAATTCCTAACTGAAAGTTAATCACAAATACACGTTATTCACAATACTTAAATAAACACACATAATTAAACAAGTATAAATTATTTAAGTAAGCAATCAACTTGAATAGTAAACTTAAAAATGTGAGCGAATTGACAGAGAAATGTGAATGAGCTCATCGCGATCGCCAATTATTGGATAACTTATCATTACATGAGTATTCGGGGAATCTATTGTTAATCTAAACGACATTAGCCAATCCAGATTGCTTTTCCACCGAAACGCTAAACGTGGCGTCGTCGATAAGTAGACGAGAAACATTGGCAGCAGCTGTTAAACAGTGGAAACAACAAACCTTCGGAGTCATTTATAGGTGATGTAGCTACAATACGTAACTGAACCTAGCGGCCACCAG